CCTAAGGTTGAATGCATCGTCAATGCTCTAAAAGCTATCGACCATGTGATCCCATCAGTACCCAGCTATGGAGGAATAATTATCCCTAATGATCACCTGGTATCGTTTTGGATCCTGATGTAGCCTCACTATATCCTCGATGCATGGAAGTGTAAGATTTGGTTGTCTACTCTATTGTGGGAGGCACACGACTGGTTCATGCTACTCCCGTAAGGGTCAATCATTGAGTTTGATCAGATTTTTGCCATATTCCTCCACATATACATCACATAGAAGAGAATCCAAAGAAGTGTTATAGAGCTCATCCGAATGCGCCAACATCTAGGTGATTTGTTGAAAGACTTGTATAAGAGGTGGTCCACCGCTGCGAAGGGGATCCAAAATTTTGAGCCGACTACTGCTACCACTAGCTTATGAGCTGGTACCACTAGAGCCAAACTAGGGGGACCTTGTACAAAGAGACTCATTTATCCATGATAGAGCTCGATGCCCGGATCCACAAAGTTATCCAACTAAAAGAAAACCTATCTGCCTCCTAGACCTTCGCAGCTCCATCCATGTAGGAACACTTTGACAACCCAAGGAATACTTGTTGGAGAAACAAAATAAGAAAAGGAGGGCTCGGGTTAACCCTTTAAAATTTTGGAGGATAGAGAAGGACGACTACCTTTCTCAAGTAAGGGCATGCCTTCATTGAGTGTTGATGTAAGTATTAAAGAGATAAATTCATAGAGGTGCCTAGGGTCATATCTATCCAATTTAATTCAAGCATGTACTCAAACCTAACTAGTTAAATTAGAATATGCAAAGCTAGAAAGTAAGCCTAGGTGGGTTGAGGTTCCCTCTACTCATGTACTACACTACTAATGCAAGAAATAAAGAAGAATGCAAGCAATAAAAGTAATGTTTAGGTAGCTCCTTCTAGATAATCATGCATATGATTTCTCGATAAGATGCATCTATGCATCATCTACTATGATTCCCTTTCCTTTCCTTTATGGTCACTCTCTACCCATGCACACGCCTCTTATGATAGAGATTTGACTAGCTAATGCGTGTTTTTGTTTCATACCATCACATAATCAATGAAGAACAAGGAAGTTAGGATAATATATTGTTAATTGTGGGCTTCTACGACCCATAACTCTAGCTAGTATATAGCATTTATGATCTAAGAATCAAGCATCATCATTGATCATGCATAGTTAGTTTCCTTGTTTCCCGTAATGGTAGTATAAACGAATACTATAGTAATATCATCGTAGATTCATACACACACATAGGCTAAAACATCATATGACATAAAGCATCGATGATCTTTCACAAAAGATGATTAAAGTACCGCGAATACAATAAAGCATCTAAAGGCAAAGCATCAATGATTATAGCATAAAATGAGATAAGCAACTTATTAACTCATAGAAAGTAATACATGATCATCATAGAATTCATATCCATAAATTGATCGATTAGCAACACGAAGGAGAGTGGAACAAAATCACCATTGATACAAACATAGATGATGAGTTCTTCTTAGTCGAGCTCCAACAAAGCTTCTCCTCTTCTTCTATGGATTGCTACTCGTGCCCAGTGGGACAGAGTGCTGGTAAAGGTGTTGTACAAATGTCTAGGCATGTGCGCCTCTATTTATACTAGTTACAGAAGGAGGGTTTCTAGTAATTTAAATCCTAATTAAAGTTGACCAAAACCTTTGCTATCTGACAAGAACTTGGTTTCTTTTGACTAGTGGACAAAGTAACTTCTTCAGGATGTCTTCTTAACGAATTAGGGTTAGCGACGGTGGATACCGATGTTGGGCCGTTGCTCTTCTTTCACTTGGCTTGGTATTTCCATGCCCAATTGACCCCTTCTCCAATTTTTAGAGCGGTGGTAACTAATATAATCTTTCGTGGGCATTAGTCGAAGTCCGGTCTACTACATTATCAAATCAGCTTGTTTTGGTTATAAAGTGACATCGAGTATCCAAATCCATCTCTATTTGAGTCCATGAGTTTGTATTCTCCTCCTTTTTGTGATCCATAAGTTTTCTTCTTGATCCATCCAGAGAAGGGAAATATCTTGAAATAGTGGAAATTGGGGTAGTGAGAATGAAGTAGCTGTGATTAATTTTGTAGGAGATGTTAGAGACGCCGCTAGATGAGTAAATGCTCTATTTGTTGGCATTTAGGATGAGAAAAGAATTGGTTAGAGTGGGGTTGTCCTTAGGAATGACAATGGGGTAGGTCCGGGGTGGGTTTCTTCGTACCTAGACCCGCCTAGTGGCAGGTCGGGTCATTTATCACGGGTCACAGGTCGAGGCAGGTAGACCCAATGGGTATATAATTTATATGAAAAACATTAGAAATATTCGTTATTTTTATTATAAGACCAACAAAACAAACAATATGTAGTTAAATTATTAAAGAAAGTGAGGTTTTCTCCAATTTACACCTTTATTATAGCTTAAATATGATGTAATAAAAGAAAATTCCTAAGTAATTTGACTAAAATTACATGTAATTTAGGCAAGAATGGGTCGAGAATAAGGATGGTCAAGGCAGATCGGGTCGATGAAAGTACACATGTCCGCCTTGCCCCGCCTATGTGGCGGGTCGGACCCACACCAAAACAGGTCAGATCAAAATTACCATCCCCAACTGTCCTCGATATAATAAGAAAATAATTAATTTAAAAAATTAATTATATATTTCTTTTGCTAAGTTATATAAAAATTGAGAACAAAAGGGTTTTTAACAATCAACTAACAATAATGTTAACATAAGAGTACATTTGTTATGTTCCAATAGTAGAAAGGTACAAAAGTGGAAAAAATAGTATAGGGACACATTTGTTAACTTACAATAATATAGGGGTATAAATTACTATTAACCTTTTCGTTTAATATATACTAACCATGGTTTCCCTCAAAAAAAAAATATATACTAACCATGGTAAAAGAAAATCATGAAGTCTGGTTGGAGTTTTCATGAACACATTGATGTGGTTATATGAAATATCATTTATTAGGGTGGGTACCACAATAGATGTTTAATTTTATTTGTTTGCAAAATTAAATTGTTATTCGACTTAATTTCAAATATGTTGGTTAACAAACCTTTTTGATGATATAGAGAGTGAATGAGGAATGATATTTTTTATTATTTCGTTTGTTATTGCATTGTTTAGAAACATTCAGGTTTAGATATTAATATATATATATATATATATGTATTATTTTTAAAAGCAAGAGAAACAAATATTGGCTAAATGTTATGTGTTTCCTATTAATATTGTGTTTTTTAGACAATTTTTTTGTGGATATGTGATTCGGGCTCATTTGTACACTTTTTACTCCTTATTTGTTTAGTCATTTGAAGCATTTTTACTCCGGGAGGTTTGGTTTTACGCCGAGCTTTGCCTTGTCTGGGTGTTTTTCAGACTTTGGTAGGTGGAACCGACCCCGGAGTCGAAAGTTGGACGAAAGAGCGAAAAATCAAGTCAAAGGGTGGAAGTATAGCAGGAGATCACGATTTGGGATATGTGTTCACTGTCACTAAGACCGTGAACTGGAGGCGCTACCCATGAACAGCCATGCATCCAGAGCACAAATCACTTTCACTGGACACAAGTTAGTTCATGGTCGTAAGACCGTGAACTCAAGCCATTGCCCGTGAACTGGACTAAGTGATGCGGCGCGTTTCGACTTGAGATCACGGTCCGGGCTTTCAGTTCCTGGCCGTGAACTGGGACCGTGATCTGAGCCCGATCTGGGTATGTAAAGGAGGTTGAGCTGAAGGGAAAAAAGAGAGACCTAGTGTGAGAAACTTCTTCTTCTTCTTCAAATTTCTAGAGTGAGAAAGTGACGAACCAAAGAAGAGGAGAAGCTAGGGTTCATCTTCAAGCAAGGATTTGGGAATTCTTTCCCTAAAGGAGAATCTCTTCAACACAAGAAGCAATGCTAGCATCTCGTTGATGGTTTTCCTTCTTCTCTCTTGTGTTTTCCCTTCTCCTAGCATGGACCATGGAGTAGTCCCTTCCTTCACTTGGGTGTTTGTAAACCCTAGCTACAATTATGTGAATGTTTTTATGGATTGAATGATTTGTGTGTGGTGGTGTTTAGTGTGAATGTGGAGGTATTATTCATGAATGATTGTGTTGTGTTGTGTTGTGTAAAAGCGTATCAATCTAAATTCAATTCCTTTCTTCGAAAGCGGCTTGAATGCTGAGTTTTCTTAGGCGATTCGTTGTCTCCTATCTTGGTTAATGCATGGCAAACCTCTTTTTTTGTATTAGCACCTAGGGTTGGTTGTGGGTGTCGTCCGAACTCCGATTCGAGGGTGAAGTCTTGGCAAGCCTTACTCAATAGGTCGAGAGAGTCACGTTGTTGGTTTGAATCAAATTCCCTTCCTTCGACCTAGAGACCGAGAGAGTGGCGCTTGGCTACTTTTTGCACTTCCCTACGGTTTACAACCCCCTTACCACACATGACCGTTCGATCCAACAATTCGTAATTGTTAGCTAGGGGGAGCAACACCCGTGTGAAGCCTTCTCAATTAGTGTCAAATCCATGCACCATTGTCAACGTTTTAGCTATAGATCGTTGTTTTCACCAAAATTCAACCGCTAGATAATGTTACAAATAATCGAAGTAGGGGTACATGAACCGGCCCAGATCGATATTTAAACATACTTGCCCTATACTGCACTCAATTAAGGTTTATACTTAGGCCTTAATTGGGAGTTCTATTTTGGTATTCGGGACGAGTCATTATATGAATTTTATTTTTAACCAACTAAGTGGCTGCAACATTAACGTCATTAATGATTATTCACGAGTGTTATGACCATTACAAATACAATGTTCAATTATTCAGAAAACATTATCATAATTTCAAAAATTGAAAAATAATGCCATTGCCACCTTTGTATTATATAAAATTAAATATTTCAAATAATTTAAAATACACAATGTAATTACGTTGTATTCATATGACATTCCAAGTCCAACCAATTGGGTCGGACACCAAACTACTTTAGAGAGAATGTGACAAGTGGTCACCCTATCTCAAGTCTCAAACGATTAACTTAACTGTCTTCCGGTGTCAAACGACCCGCCTAACCATACGATACCGTGTTTGACATTTCAGAGAGCAAATGTCTCCAGAGTCCAGACTCGACCCTCTGGAATCTTGTTCAGCTCAGCACTCCCCGCTCCCGAACACACGAAACGACTTTGAGTTAGACTCGCTCTCTCAAACAATTCCCTCTTTTCTCTCTCTTTTCCGATTCTCTTCAAGATTTCCTCCGACGACGAATCCACCATGGCCGGCCAGCGCAACGACTACGGCAAGAGATCCCATTCTCAGTCCGACTACGGGGGCGGCAAGCGCCGCAACCCGGCGGGCGACGAGACCGGCGAGCTTCAACACGGGATTGGCAACGACGACACAGTCTACCGCTACTTGTGCCCTCTCAGAAAGATTGGGAGCATTATCGGACGTGGCGGGGAGATCGCCAAGCAGCTGAGGGCCGAGAGCAGGTCAAGTATTCGAATCAGCGAGTCGATTCCAGGGTTTGACGAGCGCATTGTCACGATTTACAGCTCCAGCGAGGAGACCAATTCGTTTGGGGAGGACGAGGAACTGGTCTGCCCCGCTCAGCATGCGCTCTTTCTCGTTCACGATAGGGTTGTGGCGGAGGAGCTAGGAGGTGGTGGCACTCGTGGTGGTGGTGGTGTGGGTAGTGATGGGGAAGGGGAAGAAGAGGACGAGCTTGGAGAACTTCAGCAGAAGCAAGTCACTTTAAGAATGCTTGTTCCTTCAGATCAGATTGGATGTGTTATTGGGAAGGGCGGCCAGGTGATTCAGAACATTCGGAGTGAGACCGGTGCTCAGATTCGGATTCTGAAAGATGAACATCTTCCCCCTTTTGCCTTAACTAATGACGAGCTTCTCCAGGTAAGCTCTCCTTCCTTTTTACACCTTTATACTTCTAATTTGAGATTGCCGAGTTCATTAACGTGCAATTACTTTCTATATGAGTAACGCCTCTTTCCAGTTCTGGAAACTCTTGTGATTCAGCGTGGTTAGTTTTTGCCTCTTTTTTCTTACCGTTGGTGGGTTTGTGTTTTAGATTGTAGGAGAACCTACAGTCGTTAAGAAGGCGCTTCTTCAAGTAGCGACTCGCCTTCATGTGAATCCTTCTCGCTTTCAGCATTTGCTTTTGTCTACTTCCAACAACCCGTATCAATCAGGTGGCATGTTTGTAGCACCAAATGCAGGTGTCCCGGCAATGGGTGCTTATGGAAGCTACAAAGGTGGCTGGCCATCCTCATACCATGAGTCAAGAGATGATGGTGGTTCTGCTAAGGATTTTGCTGTTCGTTTGCTCTGTCCAATTGGAAATATTGGAAGTGTGATTGGGAAAGGAGGTGTTATTATCAAACAAATTCGTCAGGAAACTAGGGCTTCCATCAAAGTAGATAGCTCGGCCACTGAAGGAGATGATTGTATTATCTTTATATCAGCAAAAGAGGTGGGGTATCTCTTTTTATCTTTATGATACCTGTGGCAAGGGGGGTGGGGGGTAAGTGGGGAATTATTGTAGGGCACCAACGGCCCCCATGGTTAAGAAAGCCTATAAATTGTTTCAGTACCATTATTGACCAACTGGGCATGTGTTCTAATAGGTTTTGGATGATCAATCTCCAACCATCAATGCTGCACTGAAATTGCAGCCTCGATGCAGTGAGAGAACTGAAAGAGACTCTGGAGATTCTGTCCTCACAACCCGTTTACTTGTACCAAGATCACAGGTCGGATGCCTTATGGGTAAAGGTGGATCCATTATTTCTGAGATGAGGAGTGTAACTAGGGCAAGCATAAGGATTCTTTCAGAGGATAATCTTCCCAAGATTGCCACTGAAGAGGATGAAATGGTGCAGGTGAATGATCTAGAGCCATATATGTTGTGCTTCCCTTTCTGTGTGTGGCTGTGCGATTTTACAGCATTCTTACATTGCTTCTTATTTTATTTTTATAATGATTCTTACATTGCTTCTTTCAATGCTGTTAGATCACTGGAAACCATGATGTTGCCAGTAATGCCCTTTTACAAGTAATGCTAAGGTTGAAAGCCAATGTATTTGGAAGAGATGCTGCCTTATCTTCATTTCCTCCGGCTCTTCCATATGTCCCAATGCCCGTGGACATGTCAGATGGTCTGAAACATGGAGGCCGAGATACTCGTGTACGTGGTGGATACCCATCATCCTCTGGGACATATGGCGACGATTATCCCAATTCATTTGTGAGTTTTTCTTTGTTTTATCAGGGACAATATCTGCAATGTGGCTGTTCTTAATTTTCTATGTACCTGTCATGATTTTCAGGGTGATGGAGAAACTGGTGGTTATGGTGCATATGGCAGCTTGTCTTCTGGTCGATCCAGCAGTGCTGGGTATGTATTCATACTGTTGAACCTTTGGAACTAATTAAGAAACCCTTAGTTGTGTTTATTCTAGCTTCAAGTGCTTCTTATCAGTAATGGATTATCCGCATATGGTAACCTTCAATATCAAGAAGGCCTTTCAATGCTGACATTGCTATCCTTTAATAGGTTGGCAGGCCAAAGCCCCATGTCACAAAGAAAGCATCATGGATATTAGTTTCCATGATCTCGCAGCAGGTAGTTGACCTTCAGTCTTTTCCATAGTTTTGGTAGTAACTGAACGGCATACGATTAGCTGTTTGTTCTCATTTGAAGGACATATCACCACAATGATGATGTCTTTTCCAACCATCCTAGTTCTAGAATTCTAATACACCTTTCTGCCTGTGTTGCCTTCCCTCTGCAATCTAAACAGCAACAATCTACAAATCCCGAAGCCTGCCCCTATGCCCATTTGATGAAGCCTTCAGCATAGAACAGAAAAAGCTCACAGATGAACTGCGTTTGAGAAAAATTGTACTTCACCTCGGTCCACCCCCATGATGCTTACTTTGGACCTTCCGTGAACTGATGATGCAACTGATCATTCAAATTCTGGACCTTGACACGATATTTTAAGTTTTAAGCTTCCCGTCCCAGCCATTATTTATGCCTATATGGTATGCTTTTTATGTAACAGCAATAATAGGTAGCTCTGTGTGTCTGTATGATGTTTGCAAATTAGTCTTCTTCCTTGGCTTAGAGATACTCAAATAGCAATTGGTTGTTGTAGTTTTCAATCAGCATAATGGTTGAGGTATTGGTTGTATAATGTACACTCATTCTATTCTTTCTGTATCATCATGTCATTATAGGTTTGCTTGATTTGTTTTGCTTCTTGTGAGATCTGCCTCTACTTGCTGTATGATTCCAAACTTAAGAACTGGAACCATCCATTGTTTAATATCTTCTTCACTATATCTGGGCGCTATTACTTGTGATATGAGGTTTAGTTATTTGACAGTATGAGAAGTAATTTGTGAGTTTGAAACACATCTTGTTATGGTATGTGTTCCGGTATGTTGTGGGGATATAGCAATTGAGCAGGATTCGAGGTAATTGTGCATATTGCGGATGATCTCGTTCAAGATCTGACAACAGTGAAGGTAAATCAAAGAGGGGATTTTGTTTCTATAGATTGCTTCAAGTTCCATAGGCCTCTTGGATTGTGCAATTTAAGTTGCTTCATGAATTTCCAAGCTCATGCAGGGTTGACGTGTGGTTGATGTACTTGGGATGCCAAGAATAGAAGGGCTATGTATTTCTGCTGTCCTTCTCTAACATTGACTACCTTTATTAGTAACTTACACACTGAAGGTTTATGTATGTATTTGCTTTGGTGATGACTACTGAAGTAGGATTTGACATAGATACAGTCCTTTGACTGCATTTAGTTGCATGAAGACTGATACCATCAATTGGACTAGGTCATGGAACCATTGTTTCTGATGAGTGGCCAGCAGCCAGCAGGGAGGTCTCCTCATTTCAAGCTTTTTTACTTGGCAGGGCAGGGTGTAAATTGTCAAACGTGCTGCTACAGTCTTGTGTAATCTAATCTCTATAGATTTAGGTTGGTTAATACAGTAGTAGTAGGTAGTCGCCGTCCATAACTCCATTTAATTGGGACATTCTTATTGCTTAGTCATGACTCATGTAGGTAGTTTGATCCAGGCAATAAATTCGACTTTCATAGAACCAGATCGTTTCTCTTCGAATGGTGGACTAGTGCAATTAATATTCAAAGTCTCAACTAAAGAAACACAAAGAGTAGATTAATGCAAAAACAAAACTTGGACTTCGCTCGCTCTGGTTCGATTCAATCCTCCCCAAGCACTTCTACAGTCTTGTATGAATCACATCCCTAAATAGTAGAAAACAGACGCAGCAGCAAGGGGGAAAAACACATCTCAACGCCTGGTTATTCAGAAAATCCACCCATGTCTAGTTCATGTTCAACTCCCAAACCCATAGAGCATATTGAATGAACAGCAGCAAAAATCAACCTCGCATGAATGAGGGGAGGCAGCCTATTGAACTTGGGATTGCTCACTCTGCTCCTCAGCTGTTGCTGATTCGTTCGATTGGCCAGGCTCATCATCGGTAGGGTAAGTCTGATCATCAGGTGCCATTCCACCTGCCATTTCCAATACCAAACACGAAGCTCTTTATCATCTATGCACCATGAGAGCAATAGTGTGAATCGAAGGTGGCGCATTTATTTACCTTCGCCACGAGCATAAGCTGATCGCCTGGCTCTCGATTGCTGTTGTCGATTCGGCTGCAAACAAAACCCAGCAGAATCGAAATCCGAAAGAAAATGATCATCTTTTCTGAAATCAAGAGATCTCATATGAGGGAAACCCAAAACTGAGAGGAGAGTTTAATTATTTTTACCTGCAATTTGGGGCGGAGAGCTTCAAGAGGTCCTTTAGGCTTTTGTGCTCCTTGCTGCTCATATATCATTCAAATGATTACTTATTATGATACATAGGAATTAGGATAAAGAAACAAAAGCCTTCAGAACGGATTAAGGAAGGGGAAAATGGAGAGAACCTTTCCCAATGCCCAATCCGCAGAGTCAAAGAAAGCACGCTCATGATCCTAAACCAAACAAACGGATCAAACACTGACCGGAAGGAAAATCTAAGTCAGGGTCAAGAATGAATGTCCATTCTTTTTCTTCTCATTTCCACTAACCTTGGATATCAATGGCTTCTTCTTGGGCAAAATCCCTCCATACTTGCTCCGAATTATTTGCTCCTGCACAAAACAAAACCCACAAGTAATAAAAACCCAATCTGGGGAAAGCACCGGTATGAGCTGTTAGTACTCACCTCCTGCTCCGGCGAGGGAGAAGGGTTGTTATCGGCGTTTCCGTCGGAAACTTTGTGATCTCCGCTCTCATCCAATCCTTTGTTCTCAGCGTGTTGATCGAGTTGAGCACCCTCGTGCTCCATCATTTCCTTGTCTGCATTTCCACTCGACATCTCCGATTCAGAAAGCCTGAGCCAGCTCCCAGCCGAATAAAAAAAAAAAAAAAACGAAGGACGCGGTGTGAGCTGGATCCCAAAGAAATCGGAGGTTGCTAAATTGAATTGCCGGGAAATGATCTTTAATTGAAGAAGAAGAAGAAGAAGAATTTCAACCTCCTGTTTCCCTTTTCCGGGGTTCTGACTGATTACCTGAAGATTCTGAAGGATTATGCGACTCGCCGGAGACGAAAGTATTAGATACGGGAAGTGGGAGGGAAGACCGATCTTTGTTTTTTGATGGAGGCCTGTCTGCCTGAGATTCACGCAGAGATGGAGAGAAGAAAGAAAAAACAGAAGAGGCAGAAGACACATGACATGACAGACTGACTGCCCATCCATTCATGGCGCTGGGCACGGAGATGCGTCCGTTGGGTCAATGATTAGTCATGGGCCGGCCTCCTCCCTTTTCCTCCATTTATCGGCCTTCTTCGTTCAACCAACTGGGCTCTTGCTGGGTTAGCCATGCAACGTCAATATATGCACCCCTATCGTAACACCCGTGTGGGTAGTGCTGAAAATCCACACCAAACCTTAAGGGCAATTGCGGTTTAGATCGCACCGTATGATTTGGTTCACAAAGTGAGATCATAACTATAATATGGTTTGATTGACGCTCTCTCATTTAATGTGTGGTCTGAATTGATCTGGACTGTGATAAGTAGTAGTAAACGTGATAGACCATGATCCACTACCCTATACAAAAAAAAAACAACAATAAACATCATCTACACTTCGAAGAACAAGTTGCGACTAGTGACCAATCTAGCTATGGCGAGCAAGCAACCTGATCATCCTGTTATAGATTTCAGTACAGTCATACAAACTTTGTTGACGCTTCATCAGCTGAAAACCAATGGATTGCTAAGCAATCTCCTAATGAAAGAAGCATACAAAAAGAAAAGGAAAATATGGGAAACTCATCTCCACATGCCATGTGCGGAGTCTAGAGTTGATAATATAGAAACACAAGACAAAATTTATTTACCTAGATAAGATAAGGAAAATTCTTGCGAGTGAAGCGATCAGCCTAGTGATTCAAAATGACCTTGATGTCATCGAGGCAAGGACTGAGCGCGACTTCCAAACCACTCAGGAGAGTGAGAGAAGCAGTAGCACAAAAAAAAAAGATGAAACTATTTGCTGTGTATTTTATTTTAAGTCCACTTCACCCCACATATTTGTTTGTGGGTTAACTAGCGTCACTAAATTTTGTATCACTGGCATTTGGTTACTGAACCTTTTATTTTTATCCACAGAGGGAAAGGTCAGAGGGAGAGAGAAGAGTGAAGTTTTGTTGAACATGATTTATCTAGTTTGGACGGTATCGTACCATACCTTATAGGCGAGGTCTATTTTGGACCATATATAATATTGTTTGGTCAATGATATGTGTTAGTCTCCCTATCCGGATAACATACCGTATATGTGGTCCGGTCTGGTACGGGCTGCATCGTTTTCCATCCCTACTTGTAGGAAGCAAATGTCCTTAAATATGTTATTGCGTGACAACCAAAGATGAGCCAAAAAAGTTTTATTTATGGTTGGACATGGAATAATATAAACTACCACTATTTTATATGAATAACCACTTTTATTTGACTGGTACACTATTTCAATCACAAAAAGTGAAAAAAACTATCACCTGAATTGAGACCATCCAAGTTCCAACTCTTACCAACTCTGTTTTACTTCCTCATCTTTATTTCCTAGCATCCTTGCTAGCTTTACTTTATTCACTACCAGTAATAATTATTCTAAAATTTTATATGATTTCATTTCCTACTCAACCAAAATATCACAAAACATAAAATGGTGCATTCAAATACTAGATTTCCCTTGTGTAAGTCGAATATTTTGACAATTTAAACTATAAATTACTAATAAGGTGCTAAATTGCCAATGAGCCAAATGTGTAAACTGCTGCTCAAACAACTAGATCTCAAAAATTGCTCTGGATCGAAATTTTCGGAGAGGCGATTAGCAAAGCGCAGTTCCTCCTACGTTTGTCTCACGCTGATGGTTGCGACGGCCAAGTTGTTGGCTGACGGAGCCTTTGGCCTCCCGTCTATTTATGATCCTATTCCATGACAAAGTCACCCCCCATAAAACCATCATTTCCAAATCCGAAGGCGGACAGGGAAGCATTACAATTCAAGATATGGCCAAAGCCCACAACGACCTATCCCCAGGTGAGCTAGGCTCGAGACGATATCCTGATGTAGCTCAGGCCAGCCAAGAAGGGAGAAGCCCCATTAGCAAACCTCAATCGCCTGCATCAACGCAGGGAACAATGTTGTGAGAAGGATGTTCAGTGATGTTGTACGTATGGATAACTGGTACATCACAGACTCATACTCGAAGGAGGTTGCTAAAGCCATTTGGGAGGATGGGAAATAAACATGCTTTCACGAAGATATGGATCCTATTTGCCCTCCCATCCATTTCACATTAGCAGAGAAGATAAAGTTCAATCGAAAATGACGCTCCGTGCTAGTTGTTAAGGTGTTGGGGCGAGTTGCATCTTACACTACGATCGCTCATCATCTGAATATGATATGGACTAAGGCTGAAGCTCTTCAAGTCACCTCAGCGAAGAACGACTACTATTTTGTAAGATTTACTAGTGGTATTGACTACCGACAAGCTCTCACGGGAGGGCCATGGATGATGGGAGAGAACTATCTAATGGTGCATATTTGTTATAAGCACTTCAACCTCTACCAGCACGAGATCTTATCCACCCTAGTATGGCCCTGCTTGCTGGAGTTCTCGATTGAATTCTTCCACCCGAATGAAGTAATGAAGATATGTAAGCAGATTGGAAAACCATTGCGCGTGGATGTAGCTACTAGAATGGGAGCTCAGAGTGATAATGCTAGGGTTTGTATCAAGTTGACCTCATGAAGCCGTTGCTTTTACAATTTTGTATTGATGGAATTATATACTTCACTCAATACGAGTGAAACCTATGAAACATATGGAGGATGACAACCTTACAAAAGAAAATGAACCGACTATGAAAGAACCTGAACGAATATATGCAGAGTGGATGATCACGAACGTCGGCCACGTACTACCCGAGGGGAACCAATTCCCATCCTCCATCTGAGGGAACCAGAAGGATCAAAGAGGTCCTCGGGCAAGAAAGGAAGAAAGACGGGCTCACATTTTCAAGCTTTAGAGGAGGAAAGTTGTACAAATAGTGAGGATTGTGTAAACAACTAAGATTTGGCACCTTTGACACGTCGAGAAAAAGATACCTTTAACACTTCGAAAAAATCTGGAGAAGCTACCTTTAACACGTCGAGAATCGAAGACTTCTAGGACTGTGTAAATAACTCAGGTTTAGTTGACATAGGTTATTTGTGTCCAGCTTACACTTGGTTTTTCAGTGCCATTCGGGAGAGGTTGTATAGAGGCCTAGAAAATAACATTTGGCTTACCTCCTTCTCTAAAACGTTGGCGTTGCATCTCCCTAGGATTAAGTTGGACCCCCAAACTATCCTTGTTCTCACTTGATGAGCACTCACCCTGCTGGGTTCGAGACCCTTCCCCTTTATGGCTGGGTGGCTAACTCATGAGCTCTTCAGACGAATGACCAGTTCATCTTGGGAACGTGTTCGGATATACAAGAAATCGGTTGATTCCTTTGTTGGTTATCCCAAGTTATGGAAAAGGAATAATTTTGTTAATATTCATATAAATAAGGATGCTTTGATTTGAAAGATAGAGAGATAGGAGCACCAAGATGGCGATCTCAGTTTGTCACCTATGCTGGAGCAAGGTCATAAGGAGCTAAATATTCTATTTTTTCAAGAGGAACTCACCTGGTGTCAGAGATCTCAACTGTATTGGATTACCTCGGGTAACCGCAATACGAAGTTCTTCCATAAGCATCCTCTTTTGAGATGTAATAATAACATAATTCTAGCTCTCAAAGGGGCTGATGGAGTTTGGATTGATGAACCGACAACCCTCCAAGAGCTTGCTACCAATTTCATCATGTTACTGTACATGAATGACGGCGGGTAATTCCAACCCATGGCTCACAGATTCCTAGTCCTTGAACAGAACAGGTGGCAAGAAGTTCCCGTTGTGCCCGCGCAAGATAGTATAAGTAGGGCAATGGGTATGGGAGCTCTTAAGGCCCTAGGGATTGATGACCTGGACCTACTCTTCTTTCAAAAAAATTAGGACTTTGTTGGTGATTCAATGACCTTATTAGTGTAGTCTTGTTGGGAAGAGTGGGGGAGGATACAAAGAATCAATACTACAACTCTTGTTCTTGTTCCCAAGGTTCCTTCCCCAACTCTTATTGAGCAATTCTGGCCTCTAAGTCTTTGCATTGTTGTCTACAAGGCTCTCACTAAGTGCCTTGCGAAAAAGATGAAGAATGTGATGTTGAGCTTGGTTCGGAGACGCAGACTAATTTCATTCTAGGGTGACATATTACTGATAATATATGTATCCTGCGGTAGGTTGTTCACTATATGGGAGCCAAGAAAGGCAAGAAAGGTTGGACGGTTGTGAAGGTTGATCTTGCCAATGCATATGATAGTATAAGATGAGATTTAGTTAGGGATACTCTTCAGGCTACTAGGGTGTCGGCTCACTTCATGGGAGTAACCATAACATGCATTTATACAACCTCTATGCATATTTAATGGAATGAGGGGGTTGTCTGAGCCATTCCAGCCGTTCTGGAGCCTACGTGAAAGTTTCCCACCCTCTCCTTACCTCTTTACCTTGTGTATGAAATGGCTGGGATATCTGATTATTGACTCTATGGACGAGGGTGGAATCAGATCAAACTGACGAGGAGAGGTCTTGTTTTGTCTCTCCTATTTTCGCATTTGACTTGATTCTGTTTGGAAAAAACTATGTAAAAGCATATTTTACTAGTAAACCAATGTTTTACTCAGTTTAGTGCATCATTAGGACAACAAATCCGCAAACCAAAATCAGACGTCAGCTTCTCGGTGAACAACGCTCCAGACTAGTGCACTAGCTTGAGTGCAGCCTTGGAGATTCCCAAGACTTACGACCTGGGTCGTTCTCTTCGATTTTCAGTCCTCCACAACAGGGTTTCAAAGGCCACTTATACTTACCTTATTGATTGCATATAGACTCGTCTTGCAGGATGGAAGGCCAACATGATGTCTCTTGTAGGTCAGATTACTCTTGCCCAGTTCGTGCTCTCTTCATTACTTGGTTATACGATACATACGACGCTTCTGCTAGCAAGTTTCTGTGATTATATTGATCAAAAGATTCATGGGATTGTCGGGGAAGCACAAAAAATGGATGAAAGATGCATCTCATAGGCTGGCAGACTTTATGCCGCCCTAAAGAGGTGGGATGCTTCGGACTTTGGGACGCAACTGAATGAATGAAGCTTTTATGGTCAAGATTGCTTGGAGAATGCTCTCAAATATTTTAGAGCTTTGGGCACGTGTTCTGGAAGCTACATATATCCAACACCATGAAAGTTGTGTTTTA